GGCCAGGGTGGGGCATCTGGCCTTCTATGAGGCAGGCACCAGCCAATTACTTCCTTATGATGCCCTCCAGCCTGGTTCAACTTGTGCTATGGCCAAGGCAGAGTGCTGGAGAGGGCTTGCTCTGAGTCCCCAAGTGTTTCTCCTGGTCCAACTCTACCTCCTCAGTGGCAGGGACCTAGACACCACATAAGACCCTACCATGTGCTCCACCCAGGTGGAGGTTCCAAGTCCCTCCAGGACCAACAGGGACACACCACCCAGGCAAGAAGGTGGCTTTAGGGGCAGAAAGTCTGCCACAGCTAAATATGGAATGGAAAATTTTAACTCAGATAGATGCTTTAATTTAAATTAGGTTTTTCATTAAAACTGTGAGAGTGGCACTGGCCCATGCGGGTATCCAGGCCCCACAGGTCAGCAACCACTCTACCTTGGTCATTCTAGGCAGGGCCTCTAGGTTCTGAAGCACCTGCACCCACTTTTTTGATCCCCTCAGACACTTGACAGGTGGGGAAACAGGCTTAGAAGGTCAGGGATGCTGTAGATGGTCATATATGATGTGTCCCAGTAGGGAACACTGGCTTCCCGAGATCCCTGTCTCTAGAGTGTCAGTCAGCACTACTTAGCCCTCCCCTACTCCACCCCTGCACTGTGGCTGGCTTGGACCCAAACCTGCAGTCTATTGTTCTGAGCTGAGGTGTCAAGCATGAAGAGGGCTCAAGCTCATTTGAGGACTATCCTTATATACCTCAGACAGACATAAGACAGCTCAACACAGCTCTGGAATTGGTGGCCTGACCAAGCAGCCCCTGGCCCCTTGGCGTGCACGGGGTCCTCATCCTTCTGCAAAGTGGTTCTAGGGAAAAGGAGTGGTGAGGCCCGGCATGGAGGCCTTCAGACCTCTCCTAGCACCTGACCCAGCCTGGCGTACACAGCAAGAAGGATTTCTGGGGCTGGTGATACAGCTCAGAGGAACAGCACCTACCTGGCAAGCGTGAAATCTTTACCTTGAGTACCAATACCAAAAATAAAAAAAAGAATTATCTAGGGGCCAGGGTAAACAAACCCCACCAGGACTGCCAAAAAGCTTCTTGGAAAGAGCTCAAAGAATCTGCCTCATAGGATGTGCCCATCCTTAGAGAGGGTATACCCCACATCAGGCTTCCTCCCTCCACTGGAGCCTCTCCTGCAGAGACATTGGAGTGTCCTGTTAGCCCCATTCCCCCTTCATGAGCAGACTATGAGGGAGGTGGCCCTAGTTCTCCAGGCCTCAAGCTCCCTACTCTATAATGAAACCAGCAACCACTGCCCTGAAGGAGGCAACTCATATTTACTGAGTGTGGCGAGGATGTGGTAGCTACTCAGATTCAGTAAAGTCTGAGGAGCAAACGCAGAATAGAGCCCGGTGTAGGCTCCTAGGGCAGGGTGTGGAGCTGCTCCCCTTCCAAGGTTCCTGTTTGAGACATAGTGGGCCTGTGCCCAGACAGGTGGTAGAAGAGGGGCATAAGGGACAAGAGGCCTGTCCCAACAAAGACATCCACCCAGCACAGAGCTGCCTAGAACCCCACCAACACAGGAGTGATACTCACGGCCTGCCCTCAAACAGCTCCTTGGAGATCTTTATCAATCCTCAGGTCCTCAGTCATCTAGAATAGCCCAGCTGTGCCAGAATGGGACAGGTTAGGGCCCCAGTGGCCAGTTAGCTCTGGAAATGTGGCCGTATAGTCACCATATTCCCTGTCCCGAAGGAACAGGCCTTGCTTCAAAGCCTCACTAGATGGCTGCTTGGACCTAAAAGCAATGGAGTCCTCATCCTACCACAGGGATATACATGGTAATGTCTTCTAAGTGCAGTCATCTGGAGTCAGAAGGGACCACACACAGATTGGGGCACCAGGGAACAGTACAGCTCAAGAGCACCACTGTTGATGATTCTAAAATTCTAGCTTCAAGAATATTGTGGGAAGGACCAGGGATTTAGCTCAGCGGCATAAATGCCTGCCTGGCAAATGGCAAATACACGGTTGTGAGTTCAATTCCTGGTACCAAAATGAAAAAAAAAAAAAAAAAAAAAAAAAAAAAGAATGGTGTGGGAGCCTAATATGGTGGCTCAGGGCTGCAATTCCAGCATTTGGAAGGCTGAGGCAGCAGGATTACCACAAGTTTGAGGCCAGACTGGACTACATAGTGAGTTTAAAGGCCAGTTTGAACTCCACAGTAAGACCCTGTCTCAAGATGACAACAAAATAGTGTGGGACCCAGTGCTAGTTTGGCTGCACCTATGCACAGTGGCAGCAGCCCCAGAAGTCAATACCTGGCGCTGCACTGAATTACCAATACAATAACATAAACTGACCCTCTGAAATGATGGGCAGTGATGGCTGGGAATATAGCTCAGTGGCTCAACACCTGCCTAGCAAGTGCAAAGTTGTGAGTTTGATGACTAGCACCAAAAAAAAAAAAAAAAAAAAGAGAGAGAGAGAGAGAGAGAAAGAAAGAAATTATGGGCAAGTGACCCACAAGCACAGCTACAGAATGGCCTATGTGCAGGAAAGGTGATGCCAGGGTGTGCCAGGGTTCAGAGGATGGGGGCAGGGGCCACCAAGGGTAGGGGACTGGTTTTCATTACAACTTTTTTCCTTCATTTCACAAGTTCTCCATAGAGAACATATCTTAGTTTTAAAGTTACAACAAAAAAACACCAAGTTGCACTTGAGGAGTGAGAACCTAAAACAGGCACATCCCAGCCTTTGTGGGGACTGGACTGAGCTGAATCCTACCCTCAGGTGGTGGTGGACTTGGCTCCCAAACTCGCCTACCACCAGCCCCTCTCTATCCCACAACCAGCAGCATCTGAGTGACAAGAACACACTGGCTTTCCAGAGCCAGAAATAAGACCGTCCACACAGGCCTTTTTTAAACATCTCTTGGCAGCCTGCAGCATCCACCCAGCCCCAGCCTCCAGGTAGGGCCTCTCCCGCCTCCACAGGCACCCAATTCAGACTCACCACACACACCACTGCCATCTCCCTTACAAAGGTAAATGGCACCAGACCAATCCTGCCCACCCTATGCTCACTCACACTCAGAGGCTTTCCCATCTGGAAATAGGTGGCCATCTTTCTGGACACCTGGGCCACATCAAGATCTCAGACTTGTGGAAGAGGGTGAGTTGTAAAAGATCCTCAAACTGAAGCCTAGAACCCCTAATCCTTCATGCTGAAGGATCTGCAGGATGACACCAGAACCATGGAGGGAGGTCAGCAAACCACTCCAGGTTGCGAGTCAACCTGTGCCTAAGGTGAAGTTGAGGCTGGAGTCATCTGGTGCCCTGCTGATGAGAGCACACCCGTTCTGCAACTGGAATCCTGGCCTGTCTCTAAGGCGTGACCTGCCCTACCCCTTCCAACTTCGATGATCACCAGGATCTTCGAGATAACAAGGCCAAAGGAAGACAGAGAACCCTGCCAGGTCAGGGTCAGCAGCATGTGGCAGCAGGGGTAGGCATGTGGCAACTGCGCCAGGCCACACCTACGCCGGAACAACTTGGCACTGGACTACAGTGGGCAGCTGGGAGGGGATCAAAGGAGGGCCCACCGCTCATCGCTGGTAGAGTTAGGAGTTCTGGGTGACAGGGTCCCCTGGTTAGCACGTGGGAGAGAAGGGCTGTAGCCACACGCTGGGACTGACTGGCACAGAGGCGTCCAGCCAGCACTACTGCCCCCCAGGATTCACCTATCCCTGGTGCCCCAGGACACAAGCACTCCACGCTGCAGCCCCTTTCCTCAGGGCTGACGTTCGCCCTTCTTGCCCCACCCCACTTCTGCCCCGCCCCGTCCCGTCCAGCCCACCAGCAGTTGCCCCTTGCCCAGCGGGCCGCACCAGGCCAGCTTCCCGCTGCCACCAGGACTCTGGGCGCGGCGCCGACTCACGTGAACACGAAGAAGAGGGTGCTGGAGCCCACCAGCAGCGCGGCGGCCGTGGCCACCGGGATGTACTTGGCGGGTTTGAGGCGCGTCCCGGGGCTGCGGGGCATCCTGGGCGCCGCGCCGCGGCATCCCTCCCCGGGGCCGGGCGGGCGGGCCGGCCGGGGTCAGGCCGGGGTCGGGCGGGCGGCCAGGCGCGCGCAGGACCCGCGGCGGCGGCAGCGGCGGCGGCGGCGGCGGCGGCGGCGGCGGCGGCAGCGGCGGTGGTGGCGGCGGCAAAGGAAATCCCACCCCACGGGCGGCGGCGGCGGCGCGCTGATGTCAGCGCGCCCCTTAAGGTGGACTGGGCAGCCGGAAAGGGGGGCGGGGGAAGGGGGCGGCGCGCCGGGCCGGCTGGCCCCCTCCTCAGCCCCGCCCGCGGCCCCCACGCACGCGCCCTCCGACCTTCGGGACCGCGGAGGGGCGGGACGGCGCCTGCCTCCCGGTCCGGGCCGCAGACCCTGGCCTGGTGCCTTCTGGGCCTGTTTGTGCAGATATTTCCCTACACAGCTTCTGCTCCTAAATACTGCCGGGCCGGGCCTTGGGCCAGGCAGTCCCGAAGCAGGCTGACGACCTCGCTTCGCGATATTCCCGGGTGGGGCGAGACTGTTTCCGTCTGCAGCCTGACGGTCACGAGGGTCGGGTGGGGGTTGTGACGCTGCAGGGGCAGAGTGGTTATCTACTGTGCCCACCTCACAGCCCTCGGGGCACTGAGCTGGACAGAACTCTGCTAGCAGGCCACGGGTCCCTCTGCGTCGTCGCCGTTTGTGTGAGCTGAACCCGGGGCGCCTCCCTGAGGCAGGGTGGCCCCTTGGGAGCGCCTCAACCTGGGATAGGTCAGGTGCGCAGGCCCACGTACTGCAGGAAATCCCACCCGCCAGCGCCGTGGCCACCACTGCTTAAGGTGGACTGGTACCTGAGGCCGTCTGAGGACACTTGCGATGTGAGCGGGTCAGCGGGCACCTGCACTGGCTTCTTCTGCCAGGCAGCAGCGCCCAGCTGATGGAGTGGAAACTTTCATCAACCTCCATTGCCTCGCACAGCAAGGGTTTCTTGTCCTGGCCAATCCAGGGGCACCCTCTCCCAAACCTGGCCCATTACAGTCCTCCCTAGGTGGAGATTTTTGGTGGGCACTGTCACCCACTTGGGCGTTTGCTCCGCCATAGTCAAGGCTCAGTACCCAGCATCCACCTCCTCCCTGCCACAAATCTCTTGATCTAGATAAGGCCCATCTTTGCCTTTCGAGACCAATGAAGCACCCAGCCAGGTCCACAGGGTAGGTTGTGGGCTGTTAAAGGGAACCCAGGATCTGAGCCCTTACTATAGCTATCCAGTGGCATGAATGGTGATGAGCTTTCTATTCTGTAGGAGGTCCCAGTCCAGCAGCTCCAGCACAAAAGTGGGGAGAGTGCTCCCAGCACTGAAGATTTACCCAAGGCCTTGTTCTTGCTCCTGCCCTTGTGCAACCCAGAACAAGAGGCTCAGACTCCACCACGAGGGTACATTTGCCCAGACATTGTTCGTTTGTGACACTCCTTTCATCCAACTCCCAGATTGTTGGCATTATAGATGTGGGTCACCCCACCCAGTTGTGTGCTGTTTTTGAATGTGTAGAACTGTTCTGTTCAATCTTGTGGTCCTGCTCTCACCCTTAAGATGAAAAACCTCCCTTAGCCCAAGATACCCAGGCTGTATCTTCCTACTCACTTGATACTTAGTAGCCATCTTATGGCTGTGCTTTCCTACTTCAATTTAATAGCTCCAAAGTACAGGATAGTGATGCTGGCCTAACAGCTTCCTTTAAGCGAAAAGTGGAAGTTTCAATTAGGAAAGATAAAAATAGTATTAGCTGGGCACGGTGGTACGGCCCCTGTAATCCCAGTAATTACAAGGCTGAGGCGAGAGGATCACTGCAAATTCAAGGCCAGCCTTAAACAGGTAGTAAGACTGTCTCAAAAAAACCAGGCCAAGGATTTAGCTCAGTGGCATAAGCACCTGCTTGGCAAGCACAAGGTCATGAGTTTGACTCCCAGGACCAAAACAAAAAAAAACCTATAAACCCAGCACTCTGGAGGTTGAAGCCAGCCTACAGTGAGACGTTGTCTGAAAAAAAAAATTATGTGTAAGTTGCTAAGATTTATAGTACAAGGTATTCTCATGAAAGACACACAAAATAGAAAAAAAATTATTGTAATCCAACATGGCTAATATATTTAAAAGTATATCTTGATTTAGTATAATTGTTTTAGTCTGGTAGTCTGGCAGTTAATGTTTAACTTTTAAAAAGACACTTTGAAATGACATTCACTTATTACAACATTGTTATAATTATTCTACTTTATTAAGGTTTTTAATTTATTATACTCAATTCATAAACTTTATCTTCAGTACATATGGAAGAAAATCTAGTGTTTTACAGGGCTTGATACTACCTGAGGTTTCAAGAATCCACTGGGAGTCTTGGAATATCACTGTGGGAAAGGTAGGACTGCCATACATCAATGCATTTCTTGTACGAATTCCTGTCAAAGGAAGCCCACAGCTAGGTGACTTACACAGCCCCTGCTGGTGTCTTTTCTCAAACTATATCATGCCTCAACACAACTGATGTTTGGATGCAAGCCTCTACTTACCTCCCTCCTGCAGTATCAGCAAACCACTTCCTTAGTGATACCCACCAAGCACAGGAGAACAGTGTCGCCAACAATTCTGAAGGGTTTTTTGCTACCTGGAACTCTCCCTTAGACATTTCTCCCCAAGGTGAAAGGGCTTGGCCTGGAGTTGTATTGGAATCCAAAGCAAAGAGACTTAAGCATCCCTTCCAGGCTGAAAGGTTATCTAACAGCCAAGAGCTTTTTATTGAGAAAGATCAAGAGCACATGCTACCTGATTGTCATGACTAGTGGCCTACAGTAGGGTTTACAGAGTATAGCACAGTGAGGAGTCACCTGTGATAAACCGTGCCACAACTCCAATGTATCAGGAGCTTGCCATATGTACAAATGAGCCTCCTGTCTTTGTGGGATGGAAAAAGCCCAACCAAACTGCCAACTTATTAGAAACTTGCAAGGCCCCTGGCAAGCAGGGCACAACAAAGACAGCCAGTTAAGTCAACTGGGCCTTAAAACTAGGTATGGTGATGCATGTTTGTTAATCCCAGCAGTTAGAAGGCCAAGGCAGAAAGACTTAAGCTCAGCCTTGATAACACAGAGTTCAATGCTAGCCTGAGCTATGTAGCAAGACTGTTTGAAAAAATCTAACCAAACCATAAAGCAACAAAAACCTAAGAACAGTTGCATTTGGAAATGTATTATCCCCAGAGGGACCAAGGACTGGTTGTTAAGATACACGGTCATAAGACAGGACAGGACACAACAGGAACTAGCTGGTAGGACGTAGACTGATAGGTAGAAAGCAAGAAGCAAGAGCAATGAGCAGATAGCCACACTGTAAAGCAGTTGTACTAGTTATTGATGCCAAACTGCCTTAGGAGACATGATCAAGGCTCTCTTGTGGCCAGGTCCCCAGTCTTATCTCTCAAGCTACCCCACAGCACAGTATGACAGCAAGATCACACTCCAAAAAGCTTCTCATTAAGCCAGGTGTGGTGGTGCACACCTATAATCCCAGCACTCGGAGGGCTAAGGCAAGAGGATTGTGGCAAGTTTGAAATCAGCCTGGGCTACAAAGCGAGCTGAAGGACAGCCTGAACTGCATAGGGAGACCCTGTCTCAAAGACAAAGAATAAATAAAAAATAAAAAACCTCTCATATACTGAAACTCTCAAGATATCTACGAAGACCTGTTTTCTAACTCCCAAATGGCACCCTTGAAAATGTCTTTGATGCTACTGGGAACACTGTATAATCTCAGTAATGCAGAAGTCCTGATCTCTGAGGACATAGAGACCTGTTCAGCTGGCTTCTACCTCCTGTACTGAAGCCAAAATATCCTAGTGATCCTCTTGTTCCCAGCACATGCATCTGCAAAGCCTATCTCTACTCACCACAGTGCAGAACAGTGGCTCAGGGAGGCAGTGCACACCTTAGCCCTGAGCACCAACTCTTAGCAAGAAAGAGGGAATGTCCGAGGAAATCAAGCTATGGTGACGTGGAGACCAGCTGCCACTAATGCAGACAGAGTTGGACATGTACTGAAGGTACACAGGCAAACACCCAGGAGCCGGGAGGACATCAGTGCTTACCATGCGGCCCCCCCACACGAAGTCCTGCCATCTGGTCCAGGTTTCAAATGCATTTTTTATTTACTATTTTTGATGACTATAAATAAGTGTTTCCACTATGGAAAAGAAAGTTAGCACAGTACATTTTCATGACTGGGGAATGGATTTTCTGAAGTCATCTTCAATAGGGTAAAAACTTAGAAAAACAAAACAAAAAAATGGCCTGAATGTTGGAATTCAGTTCTTTATATAAAGTCCCTTGTAGAAACAAAACAGAATTAAAAATAAAACAAAAAGAAAGGGGAGGGCAAAATTTAAAAAAGAAAAGAAAAAGAAAAAGAGAGAAGTTAAGAGGACTCATTGCTTCTCTGATTTCTCTTCGGTCTCTTTTCCAGGGTCCTTATTCTCCTTTACAGACAGAGCTTCTAGCTTTTCAGCTACTTTTTCCGCATTATCATTTTTGCCCAGTCCTGCTAAAACAAAGCACAAGTAAGCACAACAAAAGAAAAGGTAAAGCCTAGCTTCTTAGACTAATCTCCCCTTTCCAAACCATGTTCAGGAGCCCCCACATTCTAAACATCAACCTCCACTCTTCCCAGCTGAGGGGTTCAGTGACATGTGGTCACCTGCTATAGCAGTCACCATCTGAGGAGCAAGAGACTGAAGTCCTCGCTGTAATCTTCAGTCCACCATAGGTTCCAGAGAGTTATGACTCAACTGGCTACCTGGACACTAAAGTGATGTGAGACCAATGACAATGAGCACAGCTTGGGGGCCTACCAAGAAGCATTCTATGTCCCCAAGAAGCTGCACTGCCCCCCTGACAGGTCAAGGCTGTCACAGCTCCCTGGAATGGTTCTCTGGCAGACAGAAAAAGCACCTGCCTGGAGGCTACAGCCAAGTGCAGAGTGAGTCTGCAAGGAAGCCACCACCCCCCCTGCACCAGGTCACCTTTTTTTTCTCTCTCTTCAATCTCTTTCCTGCATTCTTCAAACTTTGTTTTAAATTTTTGTGCATCTGTGGAAAGAAGAGAAATGACTTCCTAAGAGCCCTGACTATGCAAAGGATATATCCTGGAGGGTCTGAAGAGGCAGGATTCAGAAAGGGCCCTAACCTATGCCAATCTCTGCCCTGCCCAAGGGAGGGTCAAGCCATTTGATACCTGCATGGACCATTCACTGAGTCCCCCCTCAGGCCGACAGCTGTGCTGAACCACCTCCATTAGTCTAATAATTTAGCAACCAAGAGTTGGGGTACTTCCTTCTTATTAGAAGGGCTGCTGGACAGCCCCATTCCCAGAGCAAGGGTGAGATTCATTCAGCACCCTTCTGTCAGCCAATGGGGTAGTGTCTACAGCACATACCAACTCCTCCAGGATCTGCTGGGCACAGCTTTTGACAATCCAGATGGGAAAGAAACCAGAGCAGATGAATCACTCTGGGCTTGTGGGTATCTGCTGATTACTGGTGCCCAGGTGACCAAGGGAACATCATTATTCCCGGTCTTACAATAGGTCCATATGCTCAACAGGAACTGGAGTTTGGGCAGCAAACAAGTGTCAGGTCCAAGACTGCTCAGAGGACACTTGTTCAGCATCTCAGCATAGATACCTCAGAGTTTAACAGAAGGTCAGCACTGTCTTCAATCACTGTCAGCTTCCCCACAAAGCAAAGCATTTGCTTGCAATTAAATCACTACACTGTCAGGCAGACAGGCAGTCCAGTCAGGAAGGTTCCCAGCACCCCCTTCTGCTTACTTTCAGCATTTAGGAAGCGGATGGCAAGCAGCTCCGGCTTGGGGTACTCATCGGCAAAGTCAGCATGGGTATTCCAGACCCAGGCACGGTCACTACCAGCATTTGGCTTAAGCTCCATCATGGGCGTGACTATCAGGAGAGAAAGACTATGAGAATGTTGAGGGCCACTAAGGCCGGCTCAGTCACACTGTAATCAGAGTGCCCTCCTCACTGGCCCTCTGGGAATGCAGAGGCAGTTTAGGGTCTGAAAACCAAGCCTAGACAAAGCCCCATGGGGTATGAATTTTATGCAAACCCTTTGAAAATGCCCAATATTCACTTAAAACCACAACTATCCTGTATGTGGGAACAGGGTAGCCTGGTCCCCAAACATAAGGACACTCAGTAAAGATCTTCTAAACCAACATCTTTTTTGATCACTTAGTCCAAAAAGCCCACCTCTACAAAAGCAACTCTAGCCCAATCCCAACCCCTTGGTTCAAACTCTGGCTGTGCAGCCCCAAAGCCCCATGTCAAATGTCAAGGTATAAACCAAAGGGACCAGCCTATCCTAAAAGCACTCAACATGTCAGTACATCTACACTCATCAATACCATTAGGGAGCTGGCCAATGAGAAAAATGGGGGAGGGGGGTGTTTCAGTGGAAGGAAAGAAGCTTAGAAGCAGAAGCATCACCCAGAGGGCACATGGTCAGGCTGCCCAACCACTCAACTCTCTCTAATTCAGAGACACTACTAGAGAATGAGGACATAAGTATTAGACATCAGCTATCCCTCAACAGATACTTGTGTCACAGAAGACATAGCTATGGCCCAAAATAAATACTTATCCTGAACCCCTTAGCTCCCATACCAAGGGGAGCTGAGTGGAGACAATTCTGGTGCCTATGCCTAGTCAGTGGGTTCCCTCCCTGGCAGCAGGGGGCTAATGGCCCGCTGGCCACTCTCAACAATCACAGCTGAAACTGAAAGCTCAGGGGTCTTGTTCCATAGGCTGACATAGTTGTCACAGGGGTTCTTGCATCCTGACCATTTCGTATCTCTCCCCACATCCTACTTGGCCTGGTCTTCACCCATGACCATTCTTTTCATCCACTTAGGGCCCATAATATATAGCAGGCACTACTGACCATGTCAGCAGCTCTGCCCAAACACCCAAAGCTCTCACAGAAACTATCCAGGAGCCCAACAAGACTGGAGCCAGCTCCCTAACACATTTTTCAGGTTTGGACCAGGAGAGGCAAGAGGTAACTGGTATAGGGTGGGACTGAGGTCTTTCTCATGCCACTTCAGATCCATGCCCTCTTCCATATCATTCTTAAGGTACACTCAACAACTCCAGTCCCTGCCTGCAATTACCTCCATGCCCAGGACAAGGGTCTCTACCCCATCGGACAAATTCTGCTCAGAAAACAGGCTTGGCACCAAGGCACAGTCCAAGATGCACATGTGAATACAGAACCCACCAGCAGCCTACTTGGCAGCTACTAATGCAGCAAAGGGGACTCACTGCTGCTACTACTTCCCACACTATAAACTCCACTACATGTTTGCTGGTGGTTCAGAGGCACATGTAAAAAACACATGGCACAAAAATCATAATGCATGTATCATCACTCCCCAGAGTGCAGGGCTCAGGGGCAGACACAATCCCAGAGTCAACCTACTATAGTGGTTGGCGCAGATCTTCAGGGTCTTGTCCCTCCTCATGAGGAGGCGAATGGTCCCCTTATCCTTATGCTTTAGGAGTTTGACGTCACCAGTGCCACGTTCCTTCCACTCTGGGCTATCATTCTCTGAAGCAAATCGGAACAACTTTGCTCGCCTGTGAGAAAAACCATTAAATGAGTGCTTAGAATGCAGAGAGGGGAATGCACATCCTAAATGTTTCAACAGAAAAAGCATCTGCCCTTCACACATTAAACAAATAGCACAACTCTGCGCTGTGGGACTCCATGTCTCTACAAACACTCTTGCCCTCCTTCAGGCTCTGAAAAATAGGGGAAGTACCACTCAAATGAGTACAACAGCCCATCAAATTCCAGGTTGTTTTTACTTCACAACCAAAAGGAAGACATCAGTTTCCTCTAATAGAAAAGGGACATGTGCCCAAAGTGGCTAAAGAAACCCTTGGTGGACTGGACAACCCAGTCCCCAGGCAAGATCACCCCATATAATAAAGAGCCATGGTAAACAACTCATTCTCCACAGGCCCAGACCTTCCTTCAACGTTGATATTATTCCTGTTCTCCCCACAGCCCCCGCCATGGAGAGGGACCAGGCAGGCCTTCACTCCCACCAGGAATCTAGTGAATCCAACAGTCTTGTCTTCAAGACTAGGCCAATACCTTCTCCCTGCATACCCAATCCTGACTATCCCTCTTCGGCTTAATACTCTCCATCCATTTCTCCAAACTCAATTCTGTCAAGGGAAACAATGTCTTCACAAGATTTGTTACAGGAGGTCCAAGGGCCCAAACAGCTGTCCTCATATCCCATACCAAGAGTTCCCATCCAGGGCCAGGGATTTAGCTCAGGGGCACAGAGTGCTTGCCTGGCAAGTGTGAAGTCATCAGTTCGATCCCCGGTGCAAAAAACACAAAACAAAAAAACCCCGTTCCTGTCCAAGGAGCATATTTTCACTCTATGTGGGCAGAGATGCAAGAAACAAACACCATGTCACCCTAGGAGGATGCTACTAACCCCTCAGCAGGGGATGGAGGAGGGGCACAGGGACCGCTTCTTTATTGAAGACTGGGAATGGGAATCAAGCCCCCCACCTTTTGTCTTTAATAATTTCAACCTTGTACCAAAGATATCTATTTCTGAGACATCTGCTAGGTGGAACAGAAACCTAGTGATCCAATGTTTTCAGAGAAATGTCTCACTAACCCCTGGGACCAAAGGTACCTGCAGCTCGTCTTTCTTGCCTAGGGCTCCCTCTCCAACCCACTTCTTTCAGAACACCAAACTATAACCCGAAATCTTGTACATGCTTCAAAGAGGGAAGGGGTTTTCCTAGGAAAAACAACTTTATTTTCACTGATGTGTAACTTAAACTAGTGTTCCCAGTAATTCTGTGTAGGCAACAGACCAAAATCGCTGTGATTTCCCAAGGCAGAAGGCTTGTCTCAAGACCACACATGCTACTGAAGTTTTCCATTGAAGATTTCAAATGGTGTGTGTAGAGTAACTTTTAAAAAGGAACCCTGATAGCCCGAGATTTTAGCTGAGCAGCGTAAGTGTCTGCCTAGCAAGTGCAAAGTCATGAGTTCAATCCTCAGTAACAAAAAAATAAAAAGGAACCTTGAGTTGGGCTTGGTGCTGCACACCTATAATCCCAGCACTTGGGAAGCCAGCGTGGGCTACACGCTGTGAGTTCAAGGCCAGTCTGAAGTACATAGTAAGACCCTGTCTCCAAAAAAAGAGGTGGGGAACCTTTATACCTGAGTCATCACTCATTTTTCTTGTAATTCCAGGCATTATTTTGTGCATAAAAGATATTAAACAGGTGACTCATAAGCTTGAGACTGCTAAGGTCATCCATCATGGCTTGAATGTGCCCCCTGAAGTTCACATATTAGAAGGCAGAAGGATTAGATTGTCATGAGTTTGAGGTCAGCCTGAACTACACAACTCAAAGCCAGCCTACACTGAAACCCTGTCTCAAACAAACAAACAAACAAACAAAACTTTATCCCCAAATTCATGCATTTGGAAGTAGGAACCTCTAGAAGATAGGAAGACCAGATATCATCAAGAGGAAGAGGCCCTCATGACATCATGAATGCTTTTGTAAAAGGAAGAGATCTAACCTAGTATTAATTGACCCTGTCTCACCATGGCCCTTCCGTCATTTTAAACTGTATTGTAAGGCCACATCAGAGGCTGCATCATGCTTTTAGCCTTTCTCCAGAATAAGATATACACTTCTATTCTTTAATATGACCCATTCTATGGTGTCCAGGTATAGCACCAAAACCCAGAATGAAATACAATTCAAGTTGCAAAACCAGTTAAGATTCCCTGATCAACCCAGGGAAGGGTATTGTGAATTCTTGGAGGCAAGGTGGCAAGAAGACCATCAGGAGCACCCAGCAAAGTTTAGTCAAACGAATTTCCAAAGGGTTTAGTCATCACACACCCTTTCTTCAAGCAGCTTGTGTTAAGTTAGGTCAACAGAAGACACCATTCCCAGTCTAGCTGGCTTGAGGTAGTGAAGAAGAAAGCTTATATAATTTAAGGTGCTCATTATCACACCTCAGAGTGATCAGAACTGGGCATTCTACACTGCAATCTTTGAGGAAAAACAGGGAGCATAAATTAGGTTCACTCTAAGATACATATCCTACAAAACCTGCTTATTTCTTGAAGATTATGGGTGGGAATCAGGCCCCCCTTTTTGTCTTTAATAATAATTTTGACCTTGTACCAAAGATACCTATTTCTGGGACAGCATCAACCTACTCACATTTTAAAAAGTTCTTCCTCATCTTCCTCCAGTGTTTTAATTTCTTGCTCGGGAAGAGAAACAATTGGTTCAAACTGGGGATCATGGTTGGACTCGTCTGCATTCTCAGTGGAGGTATCATGGTCCTCATGAGTATCCTGTGAAGAAAGGTGAGAAGAATGTTGTTAGCTTGTGGACTTGGCCTTCAGCCAGAGTTCAGTAGCGCCAACAGTGGGAATGGCAATAGTGAATGGCGTCTACAACACAAGGACATGCCTCATCCCAAATTGGAAATTTAGCACTTAGCTTTTCACATTAGCAAAGATTTCCATTTATGTGTATTTAGCGCGCCACAAAAATCACAATATAAGCATAAAGCAAGACCCCAGATTTCAGCAACCCTTCCTAGACTCAAAGTCAGATCCATTCAAACTCCAGCTCCTTGCAGAATAGCCTGGGAGAAATTCTCTCATCTCTTTGAACCCGTTTCCTCTTTTGTGAAGATCAAAAAACACAATAAACTCAACAGAAGTGTTTGCCTTAACGCAAAAAGTAACCAATAATCTGTGAAACATCCAAGCTCTTGCTTACTACACGATAACAAGTTGCTATGGGGCTGTTTTACACAGAATTCACAATTTTCCCAGCAATTTTACTGTGGCTTGAAAAATGAAGTTGATAGCTTGTTATAAGCTAAGTTTCCCAAGTAAAAGGCATAAGCTTCTACTCCAATTTAGAGAATTTAGGGGCATAAATTGTATTTTAGATCTAACTCGTAATCCAGAAAAAATCCTGGACTCAGTATCAAACTCAGATGGGGAAAGTAAATACAAGATCTTCGCTGCTTTTTCCTCGGTTTCACAGCACTGCGGCTCCGTTGCGGCCAGCACCTAGTCCAGTCACACCAGCCAACAAAGCCGCCCCCGCCTTGGGTCGGCGCATCTACGACCCATTCCCTCCCACCCAGAAACTCGAGTTTCTGCCACAGAAGCTAGTGGCAGTTTCAGATGTAAAGGGCCGAATGAATGAAGGGCTGCGTGGGCGACACAAGGGAAGGATGTAAAGTCCTAGTGGAAAGCCCGTAAACGTGGGCCGTAAAGGAGGAAACTAGTCGCCCACCCCGTCCCCTGAGGGGGGCCATCCTGCGTGGCGATGGCTGTACTTCGACCCATCCCAAGGTCACGCGGGCATCCCACAGCCCCCGCGACCAGAACCTGCGCCCCAAGGCCCCACGTGCCCCGACCCCACAGGCTTCGAGCACTAGGGCCCCGCGCGCCCCAACTCCGATCTCAACAGGCCCACAGTCCGATCACCGACTAAGGCTGCCGGAGGAGGCACGGGCCGCCCACGTGGCCGCGCACAGCGGCCCCAGCCACCTCGATCCCAGCCCGCCCGCCCAGTCCCACTCGGGCCGCACCTTAGCGGCCGCCATGGGGGCGCGGCGGCGGCGACTCGGCTTGCTCGGTCGTTGCTGACTCCGCGGCCTCTAGGTGGCTACTGGTAGCTCCTTTCCCCCGCGTCTGGTGCCGGCGCCTCCCGCCCGCCTGCTCGCTCTTCCCTCCGCCCCACGACCCGAACCCCGACCCCTGACCCCGGCGGCGGGAAACGCGCCGTGATTCAAAACCAACGCAGCTTTATTGGCTCAGAAGGCGGACACTCCCATTGTCCGGCCCGCCCAGTGCTTCCCGCCAAAATGCCCGCGGCGCATGCCCGGCCCGCCCATCAGCGGAGAGAGCGCGCTCTCCCGCCAGGCCCCGCGCGCACTTCCTTCTATCTCCGGGAGGCGTGTCCCCGCTCTAGTGAAAGCGGGTAAAGGGGTGAGGGGATCTGATCCGGCACATGGCAATGGCGTCACCGGAAGTAGCAACCATAGAGAAGCTCTCTACTCGGGAGGCAAGTACTGGCCGACTGAAGAGGGCCTGGTGCGGCGATCGCCAGGCGCGGGCCCCTGGCGGGCGGGCGGTTTAGCTCCATGCTGTGTACTTGGGGTTCGAATCCTACTTAGAACGGAGGCCTGAGGTGCCCTCCCTACGTCGCACTTGCTCTTAGAGCACCTCGCGTGCGACAGATCCCGGACGAGGCCGCGAGGCAGCCTTCGTGGAGATCCCCGGCCCAGGTGGCGGACAGCCCAGATGATGAGTGAGAAGATGGACAACGAAGTAAAGGGAGATGCGGAGAGGGTGGAAGTGGGGACTGAATAGGTGGTGGTGGAATAGGATAGGAATCTTGTGGGAGATGGGAATAAGGGTGTGAAACAAGGGTCAGAAGGAAATAGGTGCGGGGGCAGGAAGGTAGACATGTTGGAGTGGAGCTGGCTGTAGAGTGCACTAACAGAGGTCGGGTGCGGGAAAAGGGAGCCCGGGATGAGGTAGTGGTGTCAAGCCCCAGACTCCAGCTCTCAGCCTGGACCTTGTTTGTTGCCACACAGGACCCAGAGCCCATGGAGGACTGCGGTCAGGATAGCTGCAGTGCCCTGGGTAACTGTGCAGCCCCAGTAGCCCAGGAGGAACAGAAGAAAGAAGAGCCTGGGGCATCTGTAGAACCAGGGCGTCAACCAGGGCTCTATAGCTACATCAGAGATGACCTGTTCACCTCAGAGATTTTCAAGCTGGAACTGCAGAACTTACCTCGCCACGCCAGCTTCAGCGATGTGCGACGCTTTTTGGGCCGCTTTGGCTTGCAGCCCCACAAAACCAAACTCTTTGGGCAACCACCCTGTGCCTTTGTCACATTCCGCAGCGCTGCTGAGCGGGACAAAGCCCTGCGAGTGTTGCATGGTGCCCTCTGGAAAGGCCGCCCACTCAGTGTGCGCCTAGCCCGGCCCAAGGCAGATCCCATGGCCAGGAAGAGGCAGCATGAGGGTGAGGTTGAGCCACTGGTAGCACAAATTGCTGACGTTGTGACCCCGCTTTGGACAGTACCCTATGCTGAGCAGCTGGAACGAAAGCGCCTTGAGTGTGAGCAGGTGCTGCAAAGGCTTGCCAAGTGAGTGTGGGCACAAGGCACCCTCTGCATCTTTATGTGCCCTGTGCACTCGATGGGATAGCATCTAAGCTGTTTTATCAGGGAGCTGGCCAGTTAGGCCCATTACCAGTGGGACTAGTGAGCTCTTTAGGGAGGGGTCCAGTGTGGGTAAGAGGCAGTGTGCTGAGCCTAACCATAGATCTGCTTCATCCTGCAGAGAAATTGGGAGCACCAACCGTGCTCTGCTGCCCTGGCTGCTCACACAGAGGCACAAGCACAACAAGGCCTGCTGCCCACTGGAGGGGGTCAGACCATCACCGCAGCAGGTCAGGCTTGACAGAAGTGGCTAAATACCCCCATCTGTGTTTTGAGTTTTGTATTTCTCAATGCTGAGGCAATCACCCGCAGGGCCTTAAGCATGCTAAGTAAACATTGTACCACTGAGATACAACCCTAGCACATCATCTTATGTTTGAAAAGCATTGCTTTTGCTCTCCCTTTCATCTCTTGCTGTTTATTTTCATCTTTTGTGTCTGCTACTCCCCATGGAGGAATTGGGATCTGTCACTCACTGCAGTGTTGTATCCAGCACCAGTGCTGTTCAGCCAGAGTAAGATCTGGCTGCCTGTGTCTGGTTCCTTCTCTCCCTGCAGATTGAGTATCGAAATAAGTGTGAGTTTCTGGTTGGCACTGGGGTAGACGGGAAGGACAATACTGTTGGCTGCCGGCTCGGCAAGTACAAGGGTGGAACATGTGCTGTGGCAGCCCCCTTTGACACAGTACACATCCCTGAGGCCACCAAACGGGTGGTGAAAGCCTTCCAGGAGTTTATCCGGTGAGTGTTTTGGACTAGTCTCCTGGGAAGGGCTGAGGACATGGCTCTTACCCAGGCAGTTCTGGGATGCCTGTCATTTGGCTACAAATCACGGGCTACAACCCCACTTCTGGATGATGTTGAGTGCTTAGAGCCACTTGGTCTCCCACAGGTCGACCCCATACTCAGCATATGATCCTGAGACCTATACAGGTCACTGGAAGCAGCTGACTGTACGCACCAGCCGCAGAGGCCAGGCTATGGCCATTGCCTATTTCCACCCCCAGGTACCAGGCTGGTGGCCTTGTTGGGTAATGGTATCTGACTTAGAGTCACTTCAGTATAGTCTGACAGGCCTTTTGTACTATTACCTCAGAAACTGAGCCCAGAGGAGCTAGCAGGGCTGAAGGCCTCCCTGGCACAGCACTTCATGGAGGGGCCAGGCAGGGCCAGCGGGGTGACCTGCCTCTACTTCGTGGAGGAGGGACAGCGGTGAGAAGCCCAGGTGGGGACAGAATGGGCTCCCATAGGGGCTGGTGACACTGACAGTTTTGTCCTTCCACAGTAAGACCCCCAGCCAAGAGGGCCTGCCCCTGGAGCATGTGGCTGGGGACCAGTGCATCCAGGAAGATCTACTTGGGCTGACCTTCCGGATTTCCCCTCATGCCTTCTTCCAGGTAGGGGACAGTTTCAACCTGATCTGCCAAGGAATACTGTAAGAGGAGACCCTTGTAGGAATTATAAGGACTTGGAGTAGCTAAGGACCTGTTGGAAAGGCCAGAAATGGGGCTGGAATATTGAACCAGAGGACTCCTAGAGCCCTGGCTTAAACTTTGGGACTTTAGGAGAAAAGCTTTTTGTAAACAGGGAAGTGCTGTTGCCTTATCTTAGCCAGGAAACTGGATGGTTACCAGTATTGTGGATTGGGAGGTGAAATAGAGGCACAAATGCCAGAGCAGCAGGCTGCAGTGCTCAGGATGATGAAGCCAGGAATCTGGGTGGCATAGGGGTGCCTGGCCTGCTTCTGGACTATACCTAAGGGCACTCTGGCCACCCTTCAGGTAAATACACCTGCAGCTGAGGTGCTCTACACAGTCATCCAAGACTGGGCGCAGCTGGATGAGGGAAGTACAGTGCTGGATGTGTGCTGTGGCACTGGCACCATTGGCTTGGCCATAGCCCAGGTGAGTCTTCCTGCATTGGCTGAGGAAGCCCCCTGTCCACCCTGTAAGCCCCTCACTCCTTGCTGAGAATTCCAAAGGCAGGGAATATTGTCTGCCTTTCTCATTTCAGAAGGTGAAGAGAGTCATTGGGATTGAACTGAGCCAGGAGGCTGTGGAGGATGCACGAGCAAATGCCCAGGCCAATGGTGAGAGCCCACAAGTCATGGAACAGATGAGCTCCATGGTAGGGTGGTAGGCAGTAGTTGTCTTGCTGTGTACCTTCTCAACTACACTTGGGATCTACCCCATGGTCCCCAGAACCTCCTCAGGGGTGGGGCACAGAAGAACCTAGACCTGTGTGATCCAGCACCACAACTGCCCAATGGGGAGAGCAGATTCTTTCCCAGTGTATTCCCAAGGCTCCTACATCTCCTCCTAGGGCTACCCGAGAGGGTCCCGAGGGTCCACTGACAGCTATGGTGTTACCTCCAGAGTTAAGCAACGTTGAGTTCCACTGTGGGAGGGCAGAGGACCTGGTGCCTGCCCTGGTGAGCAGACTGGTCTCCCAACAACTTGTGGCTATCCTGGACCCACCCCGAGCGGGCCTACGTGAGTAACTTCCACTTGGGGAGATGGCACACAGAAGAGGACACAAACGCTGAGTGGCTTGCCAGGCTGTGCAGTTTTGGACCTTGTAGATCTATCCAGTGTCTGTGCTTTCTCAGATTCCAAGGTGATCCTGGCTATCCGTAGAGCTGAGAACCTCAAGAAGCTCCTGTATGTTTCGTGCAACCCCCGGGCAGCCATGGGCAACTTTGTGGAGTAAGTTTTGGGGAAAGGACTTAGGGTGGACCAGGGCCCAATACCCACTTGCCTCCCACTGAAGTCCCTGGCTGGTTCTGTGGGGCTCACCTTGGCACTGTTTTCTTACCACAGTCTCTGCAGAGCCCCATCCAACCGAGTGAAGGGCACTCCCTTCCGACCAGTCAAGGCTGTGGCTGTGGACCTGTTCCCACAGACCCCACACTGTGAGATGCTCATCCTGTTCGAGAGGGTGGAATACCCTAATGGTACAGGGATCCTGGAGCACCAAGAACCTCTAGCCCAGCCTCCACCAGGGCTCCCTGATGATATTCCACAGGAAACTAGGAACTCCCTCTCATCCTAGGCCCTGGGAGAGGCAGAAGCCCGCTTTTCTAAGTAGGGCCCATCATGGGGCAAAAGCTGCCCCTCCCCCCACACACACACAGCCTCCCTCATTCTAGGATGTTCAAGAAAACAAGGATACAAGGTTCAACTACCCCACTAGGATCAGCCAGTCTGTTGCCACAGGCTGTGGTTCTGAAAATGAGTAGACTCCTGCAATCTGCTTGTCCCCACCCCAAATCCTTTCTAGAATAGCCAGGTTGTGAAAGATAGAATAAACAACTGCTGAACTAAGAGTGTTTCTTTCTTAAAAGCCAGGGTTTGGGCATGTAGGGGTTCTTCCCTCTGGGTACAAAGGGACATCATAGATAAAATACCTCAATTCTATCATTGCTGCCTAAAAACCTGTCTTTCATCTAATCTGGCCTTCAGCCCTCTGCCAGCATCCTTCCTGCTAACAATGTATACAGGAAGAACTGGGGTCACTGCAGGCTTGATGCACAATGCACAAATGGAGTATTGCCAGGGTAGAGTGCACAGGGTGGAAGGTTGTCTCTGTAGCTGACTGAGGGAGGTCTCTCCTAATTCCTCTTGTGGCTACCTGGCTGGCCCTCACCTCAGAGGCAGGCTACCTGCAAGCATTGACTTAAGACTGCATGCACACTGGGTTGCAGCTGAGCTCCTGCAGAGCACCCCAGTGCACAGGAGACCATAAGACAGTTTTGGCTAGTTCAGGTTCCACAAACCCCAGGCTTCCATAGGCAGAAGAAACAAACAGCAGCCATTCCCATTTGGACAGTTTGCTTTATGTATCCAAACCATCAAGGCTTACCCTATAGCCACAAGCCCAGCACAGAGAAGCAGCGTAACAGGCTCCCTGGCTCCACAGCATGGCTATGTGCACACAGGATTTACAGCCATATGTGGCAGACAGAGGACACCAGAGACTGCAAGTGCATGGAGCACCTGTTGTGGCAATGCCTGGGACCAGCAAGGCCACAGTGAAGCTTGCTGGCCTCTAGGGTAACACATATGCACAAAGCTTTGGTTCATGATGGTGAGTCTGGCTGTTTTAAGGGCAACAGTCATGAGCAAATGACTATTCACAGCTGCAGACAAGAGGCAAGACAGAAGCAAGTGTCTAACTACGGCAATTTGTTTAGAGGGACTGCTTTTTTCAAGTTCAATACAGAATCCACCTTCAGTCACTGGCAGTAAGGGACAGATAACACTGTTGGGCACAGCCAACGTTCTGTCTTCCTCACAGCACACGCCATCCACATCATCTGCAGGATACAGTGGGAAACAGGTCTTGTGGAACTTGAGGGTGTGACCCAATGCTGGGCTTCTGTGTCTGCTGGGATTTTACCCATGAGCACGTGGTTCCTTGGACACATGGGGATAATGCTCAGTTGGCTATTACCACCAGAGCCCTAAAAACATCCATGTGCCTGAAACTTGAGAAGGAATATACCACTACCACACCCATTCACAAGGCCCACCCAATGAGCATGGGTAGCCACTGAACCTGACTGCACATGGCAGCTGCCCCTAAAATCCAGGGAGGCTGCTCACTAGGAAGGACAACTGCTGATCACATACTTAGCCAGCTCTTGATCAATGACAGACTGCACTGAAGGTCCATGTTTCCTGTTAAACAAATCCACTTGCTAAAATACATGATTCTCAATCTACTTTCTAGTCTCACTGTAAAAGTTTCCAAATTCTAAAATACATAAAAGCTTTAGAAATTGACAGATGGACTCAAGTGTGCAAAAATCTTTGTAAAAAAACTTGCTGGAGGCCAGTGAAGGCAGAGGCCTTAATGTCCAGGCAGGTGGCACCAGGGCACAAAGATTTATCAGAAAACTGCTAGCCCAGCAGCAGACAAGGGTGACACACAGGGACACTGTCCAGATATGCTCCCATTGGCACCATGGGTCACAATTGGAAAATAGCCACCTTGGTGATTTGCCACAATCTCTGAAAAGTAGTTCTGGTGCTAAAATCAAATTTAAGTCAAAATGGTCTCAAATACTCCTTTCTGTTACATTTTCAGAGAAAGGAGGGGAAAGACAGAAGGCAGATGACAAGGGAAAAGGTTCCTGGTGCACCTCCTGACTAGGTCCTCTGCAGTTGTTCCAAGGGAGGCCTCGGCATACGGCAGCTTGGAATCACAAGTGAGCTATGGTCACAGACTTTGCTGTCTTTTTGGGCCTCACCTGTCATCCAAGTATCATTTCTTGTCAGTGCGTATTACATACCAAAATTCATGAAAACCTTCACAAAAACAGTCTGTATTAGGTACATATGAGCAGGGTCTACAGCTGTCTAGGCTACCAGCTTTCATGTGTGTGATCGCTTGGAGGTGATCCTGAAACACATCCATCTAGACCTGGGAGCAGCTTCTAGGAAAAAACTGCTGCTTGATATGTATATGATGTGACCATGGCTATCCCCATGTACCAGAGCCTGGAACCAGGTACACTGGCCAGAGAAGGAACTTGGGTTGGAGGCCCCTCACTGCAGAACGGGCGGTATGTGGCTGCTGATTTTCCCGGCAGCACTGCTGGTGGCCCCCATGCCCCAGCCAGTGCTGCCTACCTCACACATCCACAGTGCACAGGGGTTCACCACCAGGCTGGGCAGATGCCACAATCGACATTTTGGGCTTCTTCCGAGTCTCCTCCTGGAAAAACAACAAAGGTTAATGGATGCTGGCAGGAGAGCCTAGTGAGAGGCCAATTCAGGGACAGGATGGAGATGGGCTAGTAGGAAAACACTAGGGACCCCTGTGCTCTGGTGCTTGTGATGTCTGGGTAGGAGGGAAGGCCTGAGTGAGGAGTAGGCCAGGACAGGAGAGGGCCTCCCTAAAACACTAAGGCACAGCACTTCAATACCACCCTTTCCCTGCAGCACATACCTAGAAGTGAAGAATCTGGGTGAGATCACAGTGACAACCTGGAATTCATGCCCCTGGGGAAATATTTCTCACCCTGACCTGTGTTTTCCCCAGCTGGGGTAATTGTAGCCTGGGCCTATTGTTCTCTGGCTTTAAAATCCATCTTCCAATAGGGGAAGGCTGGACAGACCTGCTAGCTCCAGGGAGACAAGGCCAACTCATCTGAGTAGCACTCATTTCCCAGACTGGGTGGGCTACCTGCACAGGTATCTATCTAATCCTCAATCTGAATATAGCCTAGTCTGATAGCAGAACTAGAAAAAATCTCCTAGCCCACAAAGTCCAGGCAGGTTATGAGTAGCCCCTGGTCAGGGTCTAGAGACAAGGGGACACAATACCAGCCTGGTGGGACCCCTATGGAGTTAGAGCAGCCATGGTGGTTTTAGAAAGCTTCCCAGGTTCAACTTTTTTGTGCCCCTTTGGAGTTCCTTGGGCTATATGACTGGTGTACCATCCCTACCCTTATTAAACAACTGGCTCCAAGTTGACTTATAGTCACTTTATGTCCACTGTGCCCTTCATCTGCTCGTAGGCTGGCTACCAGTTCTCTAACTTAACTAAAAATAAAATCACTTCACAAAAGCATCACACATATTGAAGCTCAGAGAAAGGGTGATTTCATCTGGAAGACGGATATAGGCATTTCTGGGTGCCAGAAGGTCAGGGATGGGTTCCTGGGGTCCAATGTCTCTCCACAGCTGTATGCAGAACAAGACCACAGGCATGGGTCAGGGCTCACCCTCTCCTCAGCTAGCCTCTTCATTTCTTCCTGGAGCTTGCTCAGGATGTGCAGGTTAGGCTTGTTCTTCTTGGCATACTGCTGTAGCTCAATAACACTCTTGTCCGAGGTCTCCTGAGGAATACAAAAGCTCACTTTCAGGATTGCCTGGAAGCAGTGTAACTTATGGCCCTGTGAACCGAGAGCACCAGGGCACATGGCAAGCAAGTACTGTAGCCCTGCAATTGTACCCTGACATCTGCTATTATTCCTGGCTCGGTGACAGCAACACAGTGTAGGTAGTAGCTCACAGCTTTCTAGTCACACCGCCCACTTCTGCCTCTTCTATGGACAGACCCTTCCACCTACCATGGACAAAGGAGCCTGGCACTCACTATGACAGGAGCCCTCATTAGTAACCACAGCCAGCAGGGACAGCACACTGCTGGCCAAACAGCACAGCACAGCAGCCCAACGAGACACTGGACTCTGCACCACTCCCAATTTATAGAGCAGGATCAGCTGATGATCAGCCCATTCCCTTCAAAGGCCACGACTGAGGGCACTTACTGAGCCTTGGGAAGCCAGAGCTCTACATGGCAATGTATGTGTGCCAGGTTGAGATTACCCTCCTGTTAGCTGAGGTAGATTTCCACAGGGCAAAGCAAGGTTTCATTTTTCTCCCTCAACCTCAGCCCAGGACTACCCAGTGAAGACAGAGGCAAACTTTATGTACATTTTAACTTACTTATCAAAAAACCTCTATTCTGGGGCTGAGGGTATAGCTCAGTGATAGAATGTTTACCTACTGTTAAATGTTGTGTTTAAATGTCCACCCAAAGCCTCATGCAGTCATGGGGAGGGGGTCTTTCAAAAGTGGCTGAGTCTAAGGTTTGTAATTGCTTTGTTATTTAGTACTGGGATTGACATTGTGAGTGCTGCATTGATCTAGGGCCAAGTAGCCAGCATATAATATAAGGAAAGGAAGGAGGCATTTTTGTCCTTTTTGCCCGTTTTGCTCTCGTCAATTGTGGCTGCCCTTTAGCCATGCCACCCTGCCTTGAAATCAGCTAAGTATGGATTGAAACTCTCCAAACTGTAAGCTAAATAAACCTTTCCTTCCCTAATTTTGAGGGCTGGGTTGGGTATTTTGTCCCACCAATGAGAAAAAGTAACCAACACACCTACCATGCATGAGGCCCTGGGTTTAATCCCCAGCACCATCAAGAGAGGGAGAAAGAGAGGAGGAGGGAGGGAGAAAAAAAGGGAAAGGGAGAGGGAAAAAAGACCAAGAGATTGATTCTTTAGTTATTTAACATGTAAGGATGCCTTAGGTGACTCCTGGATCTTTCCTTATCAATCCCAGAGCAAGGACAGAGCCCAGGCTATGGTCTCACAAAAATCTCAAAGGTTTTTGCCTGTGTTGTTCCTGGCCCCTGGCTCAGCCAAAGGAAGGTACCTCAGGGGCCCACAGAGTCCGCAGGATAACCTTACCTGCAGCCCCAACCCGTTCACACCTAGTACCCCTCTATTAACTGGAATGCCAGTGAGCCAGATGCTTTCTGCACACATTAGGGGAAAAATGGAAAATGTCAGCACTCACCTCCCAGTACTTCCCTCCACCCCTTAGGTTGAAGCAATGATTTTTATTTCAAGATCTGGGCAAAAACCATTAAAACCACCACACTATTCAGGCACCCCTGGAATTCTCAACTAAAAGAGAACACTGACCCAAGGAGAGCTGGGCCCAGCTCCCAAGACTTCATACACCTCAGCACTAGAGCATGTTCAATGCCAGCCTCTGCTGCCTGGCCTTGCAGCCCTATCTTATGCTCCAGCTACCTCCTCACTGGTCACAGCACCAAGTCTAGGCCCTTTTCCCAAATACACTCTACTCATCACTGAGAACAGCTTCAGGAGGTAAGTGTGGTTTGGGTGACCTTATGCCCTGCCTGTATAGTCACAAGATAGCACAGCAGAGAGGCAGCCATGAGCAAGAGCAGTGCTGCTAACCAGGCACAGTGATGCACACCTATAACTCCAGCACTCGGGAGATTGAAGCAGGTACATCACCACGAATCCAAGGCCAGCATGGGATACACAATGGGTTCACTGAACTACATAGTTAGACTCTGTCTCAAAAATAAAACAAACAAACAAAAAAAAAAAACGAGTAGTGCTACCAAACTTCAACCCTGATAGCAAGCCCTAGAGCAAGAGGCAGAGAAGAGAGCAGGTTAAGACCTGATGAGGAGTCCAGTTACCTGTTTAACCATTTTACTGCTCTCACGGCCATACATGCGCAGCAAAGACCCCCAATTCTTGACATGTGGATGTAGCAACTGAAGGATTTTCTGAGAAGCTAGCTGTTTTCCAACTCTTTTATTCTTACCTGTGAAGAGGAAGTGCAAAGGTGGAGAGGAAGTCACAAATATCCAGTGTTCACACTGCCACCTCACCCAGATAAGAGGATACCTGTCACTTCTGCACTTTCCCAGCACTCTGTGGGCCAACTGGGTCATTCTCCAGGAAATGGGCAGTGTTCCACTAATGTTCTGATTTCCGAGACTCATATCTCTGAGAATAAGACTCAGCCACAACCCTTCAGGTGACGGTATGTGCCAAGGCCACCAGCTATAACAGGCAGAGGCTCCAGTAAAAGGCCCTGAGACAGATGGAAGCCAGGGCTCAAGTTGGCCATGTGTCCCAGCAACTCAGCAAAGCAACTACCACACCCCTATCTGTTGAGTAGCCATCAGTGAGGACTGGAGTTTGCAGGTTACAGGTAAAGCTCATAAGCAGCAAGTACACCCAGGTCTGATGTGATCCTGCAATTTCCCAAGGTCCATTATACAATCAAGTTTGTCCTTATAATAGTCATATGAAATTTCTTATACAAGTGAGTTTTTGAGATGGGATCTCACTATGTTGCCTAGGTTTGCTTGCAATCTCAAGCAATTCTGCTTCAGTTTCCTAAGTACCTGGGACTTACAGATGTATACAATCACAGCTTGCTGTAAGTAAGCTTTTTTTTTTTGTACTGGGACTTAAACCCACAGTTTCACACTAACGTACATTGCTAGGCCCTTCATTCCCTTTTATTTTGAGACAGTCTCATTAGACTGCTAAATTGCTGAGACTGGGCTCAAATTTGCAATCCTCCTGCCTCATCCTCCCAGAGTATTGGCATTTTGGGGATGTACCACCAAACTTGGCTCTAACTGAGCTTTTAAAAAATAGTTTCTTCTGAAACAAAAGTAGTCAGAATATAGATGGTGCCCACAGAGAGCAGAATGCAAAGAGAGAGGGATCTGGCTGTTTTGTTGTTGGGAACTTCTGCCAGGTGTTCCAGGAGACCAGCCCCACTCCCACTGCAAAGACTGGAGCTTGATGGAGACAAGGGAAGCAGGGACAGGACAGGAGGAGCCATGCAGGTAGGATGACCACTATTCTAGCCTCAGGTAAATATGTGGTACCCAACACACACAGATGAGATTCAAGATTCATACCAGACAACACCAAATGAACAAGCCACAGTGGCAAAAGGCCAGTGCTGCCCCTACTCCCACCCTGTGATCATCTGAAAGTACATTAGCCTGTACAGGTAATGGCAGAGATAGGTCCTTACACCACCCGCGCACTGTGTGTTTGCCGCATGCCATGACATATTCACTCTTCTGGTTTTTCCCAGGAACCACTTCAAACTTGATGGATGTGTCACCCATCCCATGGTTTCTTTAAGAGAAAACAAAACAAGATGATATCAATGGAGGAGGTATAAATGGTGACCTCTGCAAAGGTGTGTTTTGGGAAAGTCTGTTAACTGCTGAGGGAAAGGTCAACCCTCTCCCAAAACTGCTTTTCAGATGATAAAGAGGGAACTCTCTCACACTTGCCGTCAGGTTCTGCCTGACAGCCAGTGTCAAGGGGCTGCAGTGCACCCAGGGAAAGTGAACAATGACTCCCCTTGGGACAAGGAGTCAGCAAGAATGTGAGACACCCAGGAAGAGCTCAATGACCTGACTCAGGAGAGAAGGTGCTACCCACCCTACCTTTTAAGGCACTCGTGGAGGATCTGATATGGAGACAACAGTCCGGCCTTGCTGGTCAGCTCATAGACGCGAGAATCCTCGATACTGATGTGGTTAAAATACTACAACACAAAGCAGATGCTCATTGAGTTCTGACAAGGCTTACAGGCTCAGAGCGAGGGCCCTGCTATTTGTTTTCCCTAGATACTTATCATCTTTTCTCCTTCCCTTATTCTCTACATCCCTGCTAGAAAGCCACTAGGTATAAAAGCCACTCTGAACCTTACTGCCCAGCTGCCCATCTCCATGGCCCACCATGCCTCACATTCCTGAGCCCAGTCTGACAAAGACACAGTTGAAAAATAACAACAATACAACATACTGGAACTTGTGAGACACAATGAAAGCAGTCATAAGAAGGAAGTTTATAACAACAAATACCTTTATCAGGAAAACAAGAGTAAGCACATATAAACAACTTAATGATGAACCTCAAACTTCTAGAAGAGCAGGCTAAGCCAAAAGCCTGTACGAGGGAAGAAATTATAAAGATCAGAGCACAAATTAACACAATGGAGACCTAAAAAACAATACAAAGAATCAATGAATTGAAGAGTTGGTTCTTTGAAAGATTAAATAAAACTGATAAAACTTTAACCAACCTTATCAAAAAAAGGAAAGAAAAGACTCAAATCCATACAACTAGGAATGAAAAGGGCAAAATCACTACAGACCTTGTAGAAATCCAGCAGATCATCTTTACTTACTTTGAAAACTTGTATTCTAGTAAAATGGAAAATGCAGAAGAAATGGACAGTCTTAGATACATATGAATTACCAAAACTGAATCAAGAAGATATAAAAATCCTAAATAACCCAATATTGATAAATGAAATTAAAGATGTAACTAAAATCCTGACAACAAAGAAAAGTCCAGGTCCTGATGGATTCACTGCTGAATTCTATAAGAAATTTAAAGAAGATTAACACTATTACTTCTCAAACTCTTTAATGAAATTGAAAGGGAACCAATACTTACAAATTCATTCCTGGAAGCAAGCATAACCCTAATACTAAAACCAGAGAAGGACTCAACTAAGAAAGGTCTATCTCCCTAATGAACACTGATGTAAAAAATCCTGAACAAGACACTGGCACACGGACTGCAACAAATCAAAAAGATTGTACACCATGATCAAGTTGGGATGCATCCCATGGATGCAGGGATGGTTAAATATACCTAAATCCATAAATGCAATCCACCATATTAACAAAGCCAAGGATAAAAATCATATGATCCTCTCAATAGATGCAGAAAAAGCTTTTGACAAGTCTAGCACCCATTCATGATTTTAAAAAAAATGCCCTACAGAAAACTGGAATAGAACTCTCCAAGGCAGATTATAAAAGCCATCTATGACAAATCAACAACCAACATCACACTAAATGGACAAAACCTGAAAGCTTTCACACTAAAATCTAAAACCAGAAACTCTTAAACAAGAATGTCCACTGTCCCCGCTTTTATTCGCATAGTCCTAGAAACTTTAACCAGAGCAATTAGACAAGAGAAATAAAAGGAATAAAGATAGGAAAGGAAGAAGTTAAACTATCATTATTTGCAGATGACATAGTACTCTACTCTAGAAGATCCCAAAAACTCTACCAAAAGACTATAGATTTAATAAACAAATTCAGTAACGTATCTGGTTACAAAGTCAACACTCAAAAATCAATAGCCTTTCTCTACATGAAAAACAAACTCACTGAGAGAGAAATAAAGAAACAATACCTTTTAGAATAGCAACAAAGACAAGACAGGGAGCACCACAATCCCTGACTTGAAATTATACTGTAAAGCTACTGTGATCAAAACAAAACAGTGTAGTACTGGCAAAAAACAGACCCAAAGATCAGTGGAACAGATTAGAAGATGAAGAAACAACTTCAGACACACTAAGCCACCTTATTTTTGACAAAGGTGACGAATGCATTTACAGGAAGAAAGACAGCCTCTGTAATAAATAATGCTAAAAAAACTTTTCTCTACATGCTAAAGATTAAAACTGGACCCATATCTTTCACCATGTAGTAAGCTAAAATCAGAATAGAACTAAGATCTTAATATTAAAACAGAAATATTAAACCTGCTAGAAGACAGAGTAGGTAAAACTCTTGAATACACTGGTACAGGCAGAGACTATAAACAAAACCTCAATTGCACAGAAACTATCACAAAGAATCAGCAATTTGTAATCTCACTCTACTGAAAAGCTTTTGCACAGTAAGAGAAACCACCAATAGAATGAAGAGACAACCCCCAGTGTGGGAAAAAATGTTTGCCAGCTGTTCCTCAGACAAAGGATTACTATCAAAAGCATACAAAGAACTCAAAACAGTCAGTCCTCTCTGATTTGAAGACCTAATCCAAAAATGGGCATCTGAGATAAAATACATACTTTTCAGATGAAGAAAAATGAACAGCAAATAAGTATGTGAAAAAATGTTCAACCTTACTGGTCATTAGAAAGATGCAAATCTTTCTGCGATCCCACCTCACCCCAGAAAGAATGGCTAGTATCAAGAAATCAACCAATAACAAATGCTGGAGGGCTGTGGGGAAAAAGGAACCCTTCTCCATTATCGGTTAGAGTACGGACTGGTGCAACCACTGTAGAAATCAGTGTGGAGATTCCTCAAAAAAACTAGAATTGGTGGTCCCATTCGACCCAGCTATTCCTCTTGTGGGTATCTTCCCAAAAGAATTAAAAACATCATACCATGGTGATATATGTGCACCCACGTTTATAGCAGCACAATTTGTAATAGTGTAAAAGCACAATTTGGAAACAACCTAAATGCTCACTGACTGAGGAATGGATAAAAAATGTAGTATTTTTTTATACTGGAGTACTATTCAGCCATAAAGGATAGACACTTGTATAGGCAAATGGATGCAACTGAAGACTATGTTCATTAGTGAAATAAATAAGACACACATGTGTAAACACTGTATTGTCTCAGTGAGCTGAAAAAAATGTGTATGTGTATGTAAATGTATATAAAAAAATAAGATAGTTATACTATTGATTTCTCTGAGTTCACTGAAGAGAAAGTTTGTGCTGGTATTGTTCAGACAATTGAACGCAGATGTCTTTGCTCTGGGTGAATGATGTATGGATGACAATGCACAACATATGTACCATTGCTGCTCCCAGATGATGTGTTTTGAAATTTTTAGCTTTTCTTCTTCTCCTTGAAATAAAATGGATTTAGAGGCTGGGGATTTAGCTCAGTGGCACAAGCACCTGCCTTGCAAGCAGGCAGTCATGAGTTCGATCCCCAGTACCGATTAAAAAAAAAAAAAGGAAATAAAATGGATTTGGGGAATAAATAAACAAAGGAAGAAAAGAGGGAGGGAGAGAGGAAAAAAGACATACATAGCCAGATAGAAAAGAGCCCAGAAACAAACTATATCTCCACAGTCCTACAAGATTTAATAAGAATAAGAAATGTATGAGAGCAACCCAAGTTAAATATATACCTGTATCCTACCCGGCAACCTAGTGTTAGGTGTTTACTCAAGAGAAACCAATCCCAACAATCATACATAAACCTCATGGCAGTTCTATTCCTAATCACTAAAAACTGGAAATGTGTCTCCCAACTGAGAATGCAGAGACACTGTGATACAACCATCTGGTGGCAACTACTCATCAGTAAAAATGGCCTACAGATACACGTATTAACATGGATGAATTATATTAGGTCAGGTTGAAAGGCTACCTGGAATTTAACTCCACTGGTAAGATATTCTGGAACTGGCTAAACTGCAGAAGCTATTCTAGTGCTGTTGGCAGATACAGACTAGGAGTTTGACTATAAAGGGCAGTCAGAAAAAGTATGAGGAATGACAGGAATATTCTGTGTCAATTGTGGTAATGGTTACATGCCCCTATGTACTTGTCAAGTCACAGAACTGAGTTGGGTGTAGTGGCATAGATTTGTAATTTCAGTTACTCCACAGGCTGAAGTAGGAGGATCCCAAGGCCAGCTTGGGTAACTTAGCAAGAATCTGTACCAAATAAAAAATAAAAAGGGCTGGGATGTAGCTCACCAATAAAGTACCTGTTGTTTTCATCACCAATATCAAAAAGTCATAGAACCATACCAAAGAGTAAGTTTAACTCTGTGTAAATAAAAATGTAAGTTAAAAAAGCCAGAAAGCACCTGGTTACTGATGCTAATTTTTCAAATGACTGTGAAACTACCAACTCACCTGTAAGGCAACAAAATGTCACAAAGGGGTCACCACAAGTTTTGTGAAAAGGAAACAGTGCCACTTCTGTTTCTGGAGCTTCTTTGGTTTAATCACACAACTCACACATTTTGTACTGATACTTCCCTTTCCCACAGTGTAAAAAGGACTCAGGCCTTCCCAGTAGACCTCACAGTCATTACCTGAGGCTTCCCAAAGGCAAAGCACCTCCCACCAAGGTCACTAAAGGAGAAGATGCTGTCTCCTCATCTCATCTCTATACCTCTGTCAGGGCAGCCTGAGGGAAGACAGGCCTGCTTGTGAGCCCCTCTAATCCAGAGAGTGACAAACTGCCAGATTCCAGGTAACTTTGCAAAAGTAGAATAGCTGTCCCTGTCAGTCAGGTTAGGTGTGTGCTGCTCAAATGCTCACCTTGCTTCAGGGAAAGCTGCTTTCTCCTTTGCTAGACTGTAAACCATAAAACCACAAACATATATGCAATTATGTAAGAAAGGTCAAAAAAACTTCTCTAGAGTGTATGAAACACATGCAAAGGCACCCCTACACTAAGGTGTAGTATATTTTAAAAATACATCTGGTTTAGTCTCTAATTCCTAGCACAGAGTTAAAACCTGGAGGGATTTCCTAGGTGATGTGAATATACTTTGTTACTCAAAATGATCCTACAGGGTCTAGGGATATAACTCATGACTTCTGGACCAATTTGCAGGCAAGCCTTTGAGTACTCACCAAGAACCTAACTTCCAGCTAAAACATTCACCATGCTGGAATTCATATTTCTGCTCTTCACACCCTCTTCCCAGCAAAGGCAGGGTCACCACTCAGGAAATACGGTGGTATGAA